GAGTGGGTGCGATCGTTCCGCAGCTAATTTCATCAACTCATAGAAAACATTATTGCCAATCGACTCGGCACAATTTCGTTGTTGGATATCCTCTTCAAACGCTACCAAAACTTCTTTCAACATTGCATCATATGAATCATAATACCACACGAATGCACCTAACGCCTGAAATTATTTCAAGCAATTTTGCTGTCTTAACACAGGATCTGTTTCGGTGATTATTATGGAACAAGTGAAATGATGAAACAAGTGAGCAGACGACGAAATAACTGATATCCATCTCAGTGAACTCAAAAAATTCAAAGAATGGGATGTATTAAGTGTATAAGAGCGATAAATAGTTGTTCATCAGTGCCGAAATTTGTTTGTCCTAACCACTTCATCAATTCAACAGTGAACAAATTGTAAAAAGAAGGGCGCAGCATGGCCAGAAAACTGTACAAAAATCAAATCAGCATGCAATTTGTTTTGTTTGAGCATTGAGCTTAACGAGCAACATCAAACCAACAGTACGAACCCTCATCCAGTTGAGACCATCACAAACGAATATCGACTTCGATTTCAGTTTCACATGCATTACGCCCGCCATTATCATATAAATTCGCAGCAAGTCCTCATCGATGTATTCAGCTGATTGTGACTGTATCCACGATTCTACCTGAATATTTAATGGTTCATTCGTAATACGCGACATCACCTCAAACTCCGTTAAATAATAACGAAAATGTCAATACCAATAACGAAAATAACGAAAATTACCAATAACGAAAATGTCAATGACAATAATTATAGTATTACTGATTATTCCCCGCTAAACGCAAGTAGGAGGATAAACAATAACTAACTGCATCAACGCCATAACAATAACTAACAAACCTGGCGTCGGTATGTTGTTCGATCGGTTTCCAAAAAGGATGACATAGCGACTGCCAGCAAAGGAAGATTTATGTTGACAGCTTCGTCGACTGCATCAACAAGATTACCAGTCAACAAGTGAAATAAAATTCGTTTTTTACCGGACGCCGGTAACTTGAGATGTTTGGCAGCGATCGTTTCCCGTAACCAATAACCAACACTTTCACGCTGAGTAATACCACGAGTGTAGTCACTCGACGCTGAAAGTTTCTCTTGATATGATATATTTTTTATTGTTAATTTCAGTAATTCAATAATAAGTTAATTTCAATATTCTCAACACGAATTCTTGAA